GAATCTCCTTCTTCATTAGTGTCTGCTTGGTGATCCTCCATAGCCCTTTGTGAGTGATCGTCTCAGGCCAAAAGATTTTCAAAATCCAACGCAGGTACTTTTTCACAAATATTTGAAGTTTTAAGCTATTGCATAGCTTTTATCGCGGGCTTTGAGCGCGGCGACCGAATCAAGAAATTCCGTAACAAAAATAAAACCTAACACACTCACTCCGCCTACCATGTAGCTCGCGTTCAACACATTCACACGTTGCGCTTGTGTAGTGTTTGTGAATAAGCGCGCGGCGTGACGTCGCACTGCATGCGCATCATGAAAAGTCTGCCCATCTCTCTCTCGCGCGGTCTAGATTATGAGTGTGAAGGGGACAATTAATGTTTTGCTTTTGTTAATGTTTATAAATATAGCGTGGTCTTATTTTATTATTGTTTAATATTAAATTATTATTGTCTAATTATAATTGCATTAGTTGATAAGAAAATGCTATGCAATAGCTTTACCGCGGCAGTTCACGAGCGCCACACGTGTTTTTTTTAAGTCCTTGCGAACAAACCAAGTTATGCCAACCAAGATATTGCGGGTAAGTATAGTTAAATACACAAACAGTACTGTATTGTAAATATTACTAACACTATTCAATGAGCGACTAATTACTGGCCCACGTGCTGCTAAGTCATCAGAGTTTCCGCGTATTTTTCCTGTAATACGTAATAACATTCTTTGTCTCATACTTGGCAGTAATATTGTATTTTATTTTTGAAGTGCCATTGACATTGTCAGCACTTCATATAGTGCTTTGTTTTCGTTGAGTCGGATAAGATGTAATTTTATATTACTATATCATTTTTAATACTCTTTTTATTAGCTTCAGACGTATGTATGTTAGTATGTAACGGAATCTTTGAACATGATTTTGACCCCCTTCAAAACGTCGGATTAACTCGAAATTTGGCATACTTATTAAGGACTGGTGGTAGGACCTCTTGTGAGTCCGCGCGGGTAGGTACCACCACCCCGCCTATTTCTGCCGTGAAGCAGTAATGTGTTTCGGTCTGAAGGGTGGGGCAGCCGTTGTAATTATACTGAGATCTTAGAACTTATATCTCAAGGTGGGTGGCGCATTTACGTTGTAGATGTCTATGGGCTCCAGTAACCACTTAACACCAGGTGGGCTGTGAGCTCGTACACCCATCTAAGCAGCAATAAAAAAAAACCTATGTCAATTCAATATTTAAAAAAATTTGGAAAATTTAACTAAAAAATTAAAAATACATAATAGTTTAAAAAAACAAAAAAAATACGCTTCTATAGAAAATCCAACTAAAAAATAGATGCTTCTTTTTACAATAATATCATTTTTTCTTACACTTTTTAATTCAAACTTATTAAAATTTATTTTCTATTTCTTAATATTTTTAAACTATTATTTATTAATATTTTACGTATGCACGCGGTAAAATGAGTTTCGCGACGAACGTAAATACCGTGGAAACAAACCTGTGGTTACAGGTAATAGAGTCCATTGTGATGTTTGAGCTACGCTATTCACTTCATATCGGAGGGGCCGTGTTCCGCCCATTTAGAGAAAGCAAAACAAACATTTTGATATATTTCAAAGTATACGGCGCATAAAATTACATTTCCTACGAAGGCTTTTAATCTATAGACCCGTATGTATGTTACTACGAGACATCAAGAACTAAATAATCTAGAAATTATTTATAATCGATAGTAATTGAATTAAAACAAATTTGTGAAATATTAAATACTAGAGGTCCGGCAATACTCGAAATTCGACTATAATTAATTGGAATTGTAAGTTTGTACACTATTATGATTGTATTTTATACTTCTATAATCACAAATTTCGCCAAGACTACACTATAAAAAATATTAACAAAGACAAACAATATTTAATCTAAATTTGACAACAGACGTCAAGAACAAAAGTTTGACAATAAATAGTATGCATGCGTGTGTGCGACAAATACATGGTATGTAGTGTGTGTAATGTTTTCTTTATTGATTTAATGTATCTTTTATGCATTATTTAAAAAAATATTAGCATTGTGCACTTCTTCTCTATATTCTATAAGTGTGGAAAATTTCATACTCCTTCGTCCGCGCAATTTTCGTAAAAAGGGATACAAAGTTTTTGCTTCGCGTATTAATATATAGATATAAGCGGGAAGATCGGAACTTTTTGGTTAATTCACACTGGCACACGAGTTTTATTTTTAAAAGAAGAAAATATAAGTGACAGATAAAAAAAAGTGTGTGTGTCCGCTCCGACGCACGACTGGAGTTTACTGGATATAAAAAATTAAACGAAACAATACGAGAAATAGTTCTATATTACGACAACACGATACACTACAGATTATTAACAAATTAACGAGACACAAAACAAACGACTAACAAATATATGAAAATACAATAATGAGAGAAACGCGCGATCAGTACGAGGCTTTGTGGCGGACTGCCGGCGCAGCAGCCCGGCGCGCATTTCGTGTGACATGCGCAATCAGGCGCATAACGCATTTCGTGTGACATGCTAGTACGATTTTGGTCCCCATAATTTTCATACCCCGGGCCTATATATGTAAATCGATTCTAAAGGAGTAAACTCCAAAAAATTTACATAACGTTGTCACGAATATGTATGTAGTATTTTTTTGGAAAGAATATTGTTGTTTTGTTGTTTAACTAAAGATCCACTAGATTTCGCCATACCATCCCACATATACCATATTTAGTTAGCCCAGTAATCGAAATTCGACCATAATTACTAATTTAATATTAATCAAAGTTTGAACATTAATATGGTTCTATTGTCAAAGACTTCTATTTTCTCAGATTACGTCAAAGCTACACTATAGACAAATAATATTAAAGACAAACAATATTAATCTATTGTCAACTTGACCACAGACCTTAACAATAAACAAAAGAGTGCAATGGCATGTGTGTGTCAAATACATGATAGTGTGTGTGTAATGATTTTTTTAATGATTTAATGTATTTTTATGCAAAATTAAAAATAATATAATATTAGCATTCTGCACTCCTTCTCTATATTCTTTATAAGTGTGGGAAATTTCATACTCCTCCGTCCGCGCAATTTTCGTAAAAAAGTGTAACAAAGTTTTGCTTCACGTATTAATATATAGAGGATACAACACTGAATGTCNGATAGTGTGTGTGTAATGATTTTTTTAATGATTTAATGTATTTTTATGCAAAATTAAAAATAATATAATATTAGCATTCTGCACTCCTTCTCTATATTCTTTATAAGTGTGGGAAATTTCATACTCCTCCGTCCGCGCAATTTTCGTAAAAAAGTGTAACAAAGTTTTGCTTCACGTATTAATATATAGAGGATACAACACTGAATGTCGCCTTAAGCTAAAACATCTCATAGTGTGTTACAAGAGATTGCTGTACGTGCCTGTAACTGGCTTACATACAAGTACTTAATTTTATACATGTTAATTTTAAGCTTGAATGTTTTGTGTGTATTGATGTTGGTGTGTCTAAATAAATAAATAAAACACTAAAACAATATGTGACGTCATAATCTTTACGTTTTTTTGTATGTTCTGTGGTTAGCTCGTCGCTTGTTTTGGCCACGAATGACGTCACAGTGAGCTTACACTTAACCGAATTGTGTTATTTTTAACACACTTTTATGAGTCCAAACACATACCAATAACCAAAAACATATAAATATGTATGTTTGTTAGTGTGTAATGGAATCTTTGAGCGTAACTTTCACCGACTTCATAATTCCCGATTAACTTGACATTTTGCACACGTATCAAGGCTCGGCTGATACAAATAGTTTTGGCCGGTGGACGACCTCACGGTCTACCTGGTGCTAAGTGGTCACCGAAGCCCATAGACATCTACAACGTGAATGCCGCCACCCATCTTGAGATATGAGGTCGAAGTTACAATTATATCGTGTAACTAATGCCCTTCTTTTGTTTTTTTCGAGTCGGGGACCGATCCTACTCCGATGTTCCCTTGTCTCGGGAGCAAGCGGGGTATGTGGGACTGAAGATGTTCAGAGGGCTGTTTTAGGGCCCTACCCACCAAACGACTCCCTTTGCACTCTCTCAATCGACGTCCGATCTCCGCCCGGGGTCAGTACCCTGGCAGAGTAGGGTGGTTCCCGTGGTCAACACTACAACCAGACTAACAGATATCAGAACGTTTGCCTGGGGGGCAAGCAGATAGGGCTATCTGCCCATGTGATCACTTAGTAAGTCTAACTTCTTCTTCTTCCTAACGTTTTCCTGGTTTAATGCCAGGGTTTATTTTCCAACTTAAACTCCCCACTTTGCTCAGTCTTTGGCATCCTTCTGGGTGAGGTTATTCTCTTCCATATCCACCTTTACCACATTCAACCGGCGTTTCATTTACGTTGTAGATGTCTATGGGCTCCAGTAACCACTTAACACCAGGTGGACTGTGAGCTCGTCCACCCATCTAAGCAATAAAAAAAAACAATCTGCAGGATACCTTAGTTTAACTAAGAAACACGAGGGAAATTGTATTTAGTCTTATTAAATAAATGAATTAGTAGGCTGAATAATAATTGCACCCTTTGCTCACAATTAAAATTGAATTTACTTAGAATTTATTATTTCGTAAGTCGTTGCCTGAATCCCGGAGAGTTCGCGGAAATAAAGATAATAATTTTAATTTATAAATTATTATTTTATTCAATTTTATTAATAAACAAACCGAATTATTTAACAAGAGTACGCTTTTAATTTTGTTTTTTTTGCTTTTTTTCATGGATATGGGCACACGATTTCGATTATATAGCTTTTTGACTTTCAATGAGAGATGTCTTTTCTATTTAGCTGTAAAAATGGAGCGCTTTGTTGTACCTAAGTAACATTTTTCGCACACGAAATTCTAAAATTAATTTAGCATATATATTTTAAATAATAATATAAATATAATTCAAATAATAAAACAGAACAACTTACTTATTCTCGTCGCATTTAACAGCACTTCCCGCCAAAATAATGAACAGCAAACATCTCATTATAACAAACTAAATCTATCGTTTTTTTTACAAGGTAATTATCATTACATATCAGTCAATTTCAGTCAAGTCCTTTAATCTTACTCCATAAAATAAAATAAAAATACTAGACTCGAATCGGACTTAAGCATAAATGGACGAAAATCATCATTCCATTAATTCGTCAAAAAATAGTCATGTTCAACACGCGAACAAAGGGAGGTATATAAAATAAGATTTTTAAAAATTGAAACACAACAAAAAAAATACAAAATGGCTCGTCCGAACTATAAGATTTCCCGCCAATTTACACCGAAAATGGCGTGCACTTTACGTGAGGACGCGGAGTTGACTGGAAACACGCGAGTGGAGTATTTATTATCATAATAAATATCATATTGGTATTTGGTAGTAGATTTATTAAAGATTCCGTGAATATTGTTTTGCTTTTGCAACATCGTCTTCTCGCATTTAAACTGCACAATTTCAAAACTTACTAATTTTACAGGAGAGTGTTTTAAAGATTGAAAACATGTGATATTTTTATTATAATAATGATCTTTGCAACATAATTTTTTTTTACCAGTTACATTAACTGTCTTTTAAAGTGAGATAAAATTATGTATTAATTTTGTTAATGGTAGTCAAAATAGAGGTAAATTAAAAAAAAAAACCAAACCTAAACTACGCTCTTTTGACAATATTTATGAGAAAAATACTGGTGATAAGTACCTAATGATTCCGCATATTAACTCAATTTCGAATATTTTTGGAAATTGTACACTTTTAATGCGAAAAGATGACATGTAACACTTTTTATGGATGATAATTTTTTTATGGTAGCTAAGAATCTACACGTTTTTTGTACTATTTACATTGCTTTCGTTAATTTGTTAAAGACGCAAATTCTTCATGTCTGTCCTCTGAAGCTATCGCTGTATTTTTGTTCAACAATAATAATCTAAATATTGCCCTAATTCTTGGTTAAACTAAAAATATTACAAACGATAAGTTACTTAATTGTTAACATAGGTTATTCAATCGTAATTGACCGAAAAGTTTTGTAATATATCTTTAAAAAAAACAATTGAGTTCTTCTACTCGTAATTCTTACAAGAATTAAAAATCACTGAAATTTAACTAAGCCGATTTTTATGGTATAGGCAATAAGAGAAATAGTTGTCCTAAGCATTTTAGCCCGAGCGCATGTCAGCTTCGCGGAAGAGCGATGGTATTATATAGTCTCGTTCTGAACACAATATCATCACATTCGATCCTTGGTAAAGTGCTTAGTGATCCAGACTACAGCACAACAAAACCCACGTCCATTTATAATTCGAAGGTAATATATTTTGGAAAAAAAAATTAAGGGTCCGTATTTTATATTTTCGGCACACACGACACAAATAACGCTTTGTTTCGGCAATTTCATTTTAATATACGATATCACTCCATCGCGGCATTCTATATGACGTCACTGGATTGAATCAAAAATAAGCTAATCTTTATACATTATTTACAAAAGCAATCTTCAATTATTCCAGAGCCAGAAATTCAAAGGAAGGGAACAATAGCTTTCTGAATTTACTCCAATAAATATGAAAGGAGCTTTAAGGCTTCAAGATCTGACTCAAGAATTAACCTCGGAATGTAGGAGTGAATAAGGGTTCAGCTGGTTTCTTGTCGTGCTACTGCTGTTGAGACGGATGCCTCAAACACTTTAACTTTGAAGTTGTCATGGCCTCAAAGCAAAGTCATAACATTTCAAAGCGGTTGATATTCGTAGATATTGTCATGTCGTACTTCAAAGATGAGGCTTCGTTGTAGTAGACAAGGTGGTATACCTTGAGACAGTAATTGGACTGCAATAGATATCGATACTGGTAAAAATATGTCTTTCTTTATTTCCTATTAATTGCCACATAATCGGTTATTAATTACCAGTAAATGTTTCTATAATAATGTATTATCTATAGTACACCGCAACATACCTGCTATATTTTTTATATTTTCCAGAATTTCTATAATTTAAATGGTTGTCTGGAAGAGATCGCTTTTAGCGTTAAGACCGCCTATTGTACAAATGTGTCTGCTTTTTTTGATTGTTTTTGAATGTAAATTATGTTTTGGTGTGCAATAAAGTGTATTCTCTCTCTCTCTCTCTCTCTCTCTAAATGTTAAACAGAATTTCGGTTAATAAGGCGGTCAGACTAATCAACACTTTGAAACTAGTTTAGTTACTGGCATATTATCGATTATTAAATATTTTGTAGATTATGAAAATCATTAATTGGTAAGTTGGACGTTGCTCCTTTTTTAAAATAACGAGTTATTTTAGAGTCTAATTGAATTAAGTCCCTTTAAAACGACTAGATGATGACCAGTTTTTTTTTTTATAATGTCATCTTGTTTTGTGTCTTTAAAGCGGTTAGTTGCCCTCAATTAAGAAAAATAGTATTATTATTCGCCAATAGATGTCGGGAAAAGTTGATTATTGAAAACACGAATAAAACAACATTTTCTGAAAATAAATCGTAGCTAGATCGATTTATCGCCCCCGAAATCCCCTGTATACTAAATTTTATGAAAATCGTTGAAGCCGTTTCTGAGATTCAGATTATATAGGTGTATATCAATATACAAGAATTGCTCGTTTAAAGGTTATAAGATTTATATTGCTTTAGATTGGCAGCTGAACTGATGGTCCATTAGGCTTTGAGTGGTCGTCGTAGACCATAGACATAATAATCCAAATGCCGTCACCACCATGGGAAATGAAGTCGAAGGTATGTGGTGTGTTATAATTGTGTCGTATAGAAGTTCTCTAACTCTTGAAATCGGAGTACATGACGGCTTCGCGGCAGGAACTAACGGGGTAGTGGTATTTATCGATGTGGATTGACAATACGCCTTAATTCAATTTAAATGCCGTCATGGTGTCCAACTATAATATTCAGATATCGCTGTTGTCCATATTCCGGTGTATTTCGGTTATGATCCTTACTGGAAGAAGTTGGGTTATGCTATCGTAGGTGCAAATCACATCCAGCATCCAGTCGTGTCTTTCTCGATGAGATGGTCGGACCAAATTCGATTTTCTCTGAACATCAAGTTCCACGATGCCCCTCACAAAGTCAAGGATGGTAACAGATGGAGGGAAATCGTACGTGTGAGAATGATGCAGCGAGGGTGTCTCGACCCTGAGTAATGAGGAAAGTGACGCGAGGAGGACGAGGAAAGTCTTTCTCGTTGCTTGGCAAACTGATAACAAAACAATTAACAATACAGTTTATTCTAGGCTAAAGAAGCTTCTGTGTAAAGTCGTATATCATTCCGGATTCTGGTCTTGTACTACACAAAAGTGCATTGTTTTGTAAGAGCAGACGTACCCTAATGATTGATTGTGTGCAAGCGTTGAACTGGAACATCCTACGTGTTCAGAATAAAGCAGCCAGTCGGAATTTCTATTGGAATACTTCGAACCCGTCCTAAACATAAAACCCCGGACTCACAACATGCGTATAAAAAACCTTCACGATTGACTTTCACGGTAAAGGAACAACATCGTGTAGTAAAAATCAAACACGTGAAAATTATAACTTGCGTAATTACTGGTAGTAAGAAGTCTTGTGAGTCCGCATAAGTAGGTACCACTATCCTGCCTATTTTTGCAGTGAAGCAGTAACGCGTTTCGGTTTGAAGGGTTTGGCAGTCGTCTAGAGTCTCAAAATAGTTACATTTTGAGACTCTAGAACTCATATCTCAAGGTGGGTGGCTGCATTTACGTTGTAGGTGTTTATGTGCTCCAGTAACCACTTAATACGTGGTAGGCCGTGAGCTCGTCAAAAAAAACGTTACGTGAACATTTGCAAATCTTGGTACCTTTGGTTTTGCCACTGTGATCTTGATTTTTAACTGGCTACCAAAGCCCATAACTTTGCTGTGGGAGATGCTGCTTTTTTTTTCTTACCTAAGCTGAGAGCCTTGAGAGGCAATATCAGCGCAACCTTAACTAGTAGATGAGCTCACGGGGCTCAAACCTGCTTGAGGTCCCTAAAAGCACCGTTAGTGGATCGGGAGGATCCGAAATGACGTATTTGGGGCGACGTCGACTGCTTTCCATTCTCTCCGCAGGATCGGGAATGTAGTTACCGGCGGCCACGATGGAAGGGTTCTAGTGTAGTGCCGCTTTATCGAAGTGGGGATGCTGCTATGAAGCACTACCCTTACTAGGGTTAGTGTTAGCAGCGTCGTCAGATTTAAGCCCCGTGAGCTTACCTACTAATTTGGTGAATCTGGAATAACCCCTTAAGATTACTAGAATAGGTAAGAAAAGTCGTAGCGACCGACGCACTGTGTCAGTGCATGCTCTAATCGCGACTAGTCGTTCTGAATGACAATCAACCTTTTACTCCTCATTGTTGAGATCATGTCGCCTATGTAAATAAGGTTGTTTTTAAGAACTTGCGTTACTGTTATATCATATGCGTTTGTGATTTATCGTTATATAAATATAAGTAGGTAGCTTGTGTTTGGGAATACGGTCTGGTTACATGGCTTTTATCAGCAACATCTGTGGCCTTAAAGCCGCGGGTGGGCCTTAGTTTGGTCCACAAAATCTCCAATACACTTAATTCGCAGCTTTCTTTCTCCAACATATAACCCAAAAGCTTTTTTATTTATTGCTTCGATGGGTGGACGAGCTCACAGCCCACCTGGTGTTAAGTGGTTACTGGAGCCTATAGACATCTATAACGTAAATGCACAATCCACTTTGAGATATATGTTCTAAGGTCTCAGTATAGTTACAACGGCCGCCCCAGCCTTCAAACCGAAACGCATTACTGCTTCACGGCAGAAATAGGCAGGGTGGTGGTATCTACCCGCGCGGACTCACAAGAGGTCTTACCACCAGTAAAAACCGGTCCCACCAGATATATAAATATAAGTAGGTAGCTTGTGTTTGAGAATACGGTCAGGTTACGTGGCTTTCATCAACAACATCTGTGACCTTAAAGCCTCGGGTGGGCCTTAGTTTGGTCCACAAATTCTCAATCCCATTTATTCGCAGCTTTCTTTCTCCAACTTATAACTCAAAAATTATTCATGTCCTGTTCGACGCTAGTCAACCATTGGGTTTTGGTCTTAAAATGTCATTGTTAGGACCAGTCATCAAAATAAGGGGATTTTAGTATGATGGCGGTGGTGGTAGATGGCGGAGCTTTGTGCTTTTGTGTTTCATTTTCCATGGTTGACCGCTTAAGCTCGCAAGCTATAGGGGCTTTAAGACTTCAGTTACCATTAAGTCCCGGGTGGTCAAAGAGTATGCCTGTTTAAAA